TAGGTACATGCCCCTAAAGACTCAAGCGCCCACATGTACAGCAGCTCTATTCACAATGACCAAGAGGTGGAAACAACCCAAGTGTCCATCAACCAATAAACGGATACCCAAATTGAGGTATATCCCCATAACAGAATACTACTCACCCTTTAAAAAGGAATGAAGTTCTGACACCTGCTATAACACAGATGAACCTTGAAAACATTATGGTGAGTGAAAGAAGCCAGTCACAAAGGTCGAATATTGTATGAGTCCCTGTACATAAAATACCTAGAATCGGCAAATCCACAGAGACTGAAAGTAGATTAGAGGTGAGCAGGAGCTGGGGTCGGGGGATGGGGAGTGACTGCTTAACAGGGTCAGGGTTTCCATTCAGGGTGATGAAAAATTTTGGAAATAAAGAGTGGTGATGGTTGCACAACTCTATGAATGTGCTTAATGCTGCTGAATGGCACACTGACAAAAGGTTAAAATGGCACATTTTATGTTATGTATATTTGCCACAATTGAAACAAAAAAGAGAGAGCAGGCGGTGGAGCAGGCCTGTGTGTTGTTTTTCAGGTTTTGCGTGTAAACGCGCACTGAGGGAGAGCTAGTAGGCGGCATCAACGAGACAGCACGACGACTTCACGAAACCCCGTTTCATCGTCCCCCTCCCCAAGGAGCAGTCCCCCTGCAGCCAGCCCAGACCAGGGGACTGGTTCCAGCCCTTGCACATCTGTGGAAATGACCTGGACCAAGGCAGTGACAAGCCTAGGCCTCTGTGAACACAGAAGCCCCCAGCTCCTCGGTCCCTCTGACCTTCATCAGACTTCAGATTCTGAAGAAGGACGTGGCTGAGGAGCGCAAAGTAGTGGCTTTAAGATCTGGGGCTGCCTCTGGAGGGAGAGTTCGGGATGCCCCATTACCCGCGTCCGCCTCTCAGGGTGGCTGCTGCAAGAGGAAGGAACTGGACAGACAGGGAAGTGCGACCTCCAAAGACACACCTCAGAAACAAGAAGACACTTAGGTGAATCCCAGAGTAATTCTGGGACGTCCAGCTCCTCTCCAGCCCTGAAGTGCTCCCTGTCACCCCAGCACCCCGCACGGCGCCTGGGACACAGCAGGCACGTCACAGGTCCCTGCTACCGTGACTAACGCAGCCCCAACCAGGAGTTCACCGACGCTTCCCGCTCACGGCCTCTGCCCCAGCCTCGCCCTGGCCTGGTGAGGCCTTGCTGGCTCCCCATCCGTTACCACCTTTCTGCCCACCCTGGGGAAGGTCGTCCCGTTTTATAAAACACAGGCCTGCCCTGGTGACCCTCCCAGCCACCACCTCCAAATATTTATGTGTTTACCAGACGGACACCTCCTCCCCTAGGAGGCCAGCCCCACGAGGGCAGGAACCTGGTTTTCTCCTCCACTCTGCTCGCGGCACCCGGCACAGACCCCGCACACAGGAAACACTCAGTATTGTACTGAATCCTGTTGAACCGAATGAATAAACACAGGGTGTACTCAGTCTGTCAAATTCCACTGCTCCCACGATCGATTTTATCAGGTCAGCGATGAACGCTCCATCAATTACTCGACACCCCTGATCAAATAAAATCAATTAGGGATTTCTAACGGCAACAATAATAACAGGTGCCAGAGAGGCGCCGGCACAGGGCTGACAGTGACACTAGTACCTCATGTCACCCTCACCCAGCCCTGGGACCGGATCACTGCTCAGCCCCGCTGACCTCAGCATGGCCGGCAGGGGGCCAGGAGCCCCAGCGGCCTTGAGCCACAAAGCCATACTTGACCCGCCATGCTGCTCTTGCATCTGGGGACACTTGAGCAAGAAACGGTTCATCTGGGTGACTGCCATCATGTTGCCATAAATAACAATGATGAGCCCAGGCACACACACTGAGTTCTGGTCCTGTGGCCATTCCTGGAAGAGCTGAATGCAGATCAACATCCCACTGGACAGACCAGGAAACCAGGGCCCAGAGAACAAAATTAATCTTCCAAGCAGAGTAGCTGGCTTTCGGGGTGACTGCCCAAATCGCCCCCCAGGAACTCCCTCCCCAGGCTCCTAGGTGGCCCTGTCCCAGGTGAGTGACCTGCCTCCTGGCTACAAACAATGGGACCAGGACCCACGCACATCGGGATGCTTGTCAGGCCTGGTGCCAAAATCCACCCCGTGTTGCCCAGGCACCCGTGTGTGCCCACTGTGTCTGTCCAACCAGAGGGCACCTCCTCCCTCGAGCGGGCACCAAAGTGTGAGTCGGCAGGGCCCCAATGGACCAGGGTCAGTTGCTACCCCTTCCCTGAGGACCTGAAACTGGGTGAAGAATGGGTGGTGGCCTGTGTGGCCACCGGCCAGGAACAGGTGACCTCCTGCCTGAGGGCCGGGAGAGTCTGTCTGCAGAAAGGGAGCCACAGGGCACCCAGGGATAAGCCAGGGCCCTGGGGCAGACTCCAGACAGCCGGCCTTTCCCTCTGGTTTCCATTTTGAACCATGTGAATGCACCGCCCATTCAAAAACTGGATTTAAATTTAAATTACGGTGTAAATTGATGTCTACATTCAAGTCAAAGTAGATACAACACTTGAGTCATCTGTTCCACCTGGTGACCAAGGACATAGCAGCCAGGTGGACACCTCTGGTGCAAGGGCTTAAAACAACAGATGGGTATTGTCTCACAGTTCTGGAGGCCAAAAGTGTAGAAAAATTACGATGAGCAGGTGGAAATCGAGCCATGGGCAGGGCCACACCTTCAGAGGCTCTGGGGAAGGATCCTTCCCGCCACCTCCAGCTTCCCTCCCCATGTGGAGATCCTTAATTTCTTCACCTCTGCAAAGCCCTCTCATGCCACATAAGGTGACATTCCCAGGTTCCAGCGGTTGGGTCACGGGCATCTTTGGGGGGTCTACCACCTTCACCCTCACCAGGGCCCGGACACCCGCCATGAGGGGTGCTCACCACCAGCCCCCATCAGACCTCTGTGTGGACCTGGCTCAAAAGAATTTTTAATTCCGAGCCCAAACCCTTCTCTCTGAGCAGAAGAGTCCAAGCCACCAGTCTGCTCAGAAACTTCCAAGGAAGCCCACCAACTGTGAAAAACATGTGGCCTCACCAGTAATCAGAGAAATGACACCTTCTCTACTCAAATGTAAAATAGAACAATCACACCCAGGGCGTTCAGGGTGAGAGGAAGCTGAGAGGGAGACAGGAGTGATGACCAAGTGTCCTGTGCGCGTCACCTTCATGGATCCAGTCAGATGCACACGGAGCGTCTGCTGGCACCAGAGAGAACAGTGGACAAGGCCAACTGGCCCAGGGAGAGGGCGCCACAGGGTGACCCAAGACTGGGAACTGGCCACCCCGGCCCAGCCCCCATGTGCTTCCATCACAGACACAGCCTGGAACACGGGCGCTCCGGCCGCGCTCCACCTCGGAAGCAGCCATCATCCCAGCATGACTTGGGGACCTCCTGAACTGGCCACATGCTGTGGGCAAGGAAGGGACATCCACCAAAGCCCTAAACACAAGTCCTCTGGACGCCCCTGCAGCCTCTTGGTGACCAGCCAGCACAACGTATCAAAAGCCTTTAAAAACGCACACGCCGACACCTGTCTAGATGTCACAGTACCTCCCTGGCCCGGCTCCTCTGCTGCCGGGAACCCATTCCGCATGGACGCTGGTCTTTACTGTTCGCTGCGACACGGTCACATCACAAAATTAGAAACCTCCCAAGTGACCCTGGGGAAAGGACAGGTGGACAGACTGACTCATCTTCTCAAGGGCTGTCCAGACGCCAACAATGACTGGCACTCGCACGGACCTACGGTTACGAGGAAAGGGGCGCCTCAGAGAACACGATGGATGGCGTACTCCGCCTCGGGTTTCCCAGGTGGTGACATGCGATGCACATATTAACACCCAGACGGTGGCCAGGAAGGATCACCCCAGACCATAGCTGGTGGTCACTGGGGGGAGGGGGAGAGGACACAGAGAGACTTTCTCTTTTTATTTTGTATGTTTGTGTGTCATTTGGATTTTGTACAGGACTGTTATCAAAATATGCTCAGTTGATCTAAGGAAGAATTATAATTTGCCAAAAATGAAAAAAAAAGAGAATTTTTTCAACATTATCCACCCTTCAATCCATGTCAAGGAATTTATCTTAAAGAAACAGACAAGTATTCAAGGAAGAGGGTACCAGGATGGTCATGTCATTAAAATGTTTTTCATCCTAAAAAAATGCAAACAGCCACAGTAGGAAAGTAATTAGTCACAGCAATTCCATAGAAATGGACACTACAAACCACTAAAAAGTCTTTACTGACAAAGAGAGATGTTCATGACCTCTGAAGTGTGACAAAACCGTGTAGAATGTGATTCCATTTTCATGACGATATTGAATTAGGATACGTGCATAAAATAAATCCTTAAGCGCTACCCCAAAATATTCTCAATAATTATCTCTGGAGTCAGCTGACAGGGGACATTTTTGCTTTTTGTCTTATAAAAAATTTCCAACTTTTCCAGTTATTTACACAGTCACAATTCCAGTCACATCCGAGCCCATTCACAACTCAGAGCTCCTCTACACCCAAGGCCCTTCTAGGCCGTGCTCACCATCACCTCCCGGCCCAGCCACTCTTCCTCGAGACCCTGAGCTCCTCGGACATGTGTTCCAGCCCCATCTCCCCACGAGGCAGTGAGCTCAGTGCAGACAAGGTGGATCCCTGCACGTAGAAGATGCCAGAAAATTAGGCCCACAGAGACCTGGGCAAAGGAGGCCCGCAGGAGTCTTTCTAGGACAAGGTTGGTTGTGGGACCTTCGGATAGTGACCCAGTATTTGTGGAGGCCAGCCCAGGTGCATACAGCACTTTATTTCTGGAAGCCGCCCTGCTCTGTGAGCCCACGCGTCCCCTCGAGCTGGCCGTCACCAGAACTCACGGGCCGTGACCAGCGAGGCCCCGGGACGGGCTGAGGGTCCTGCCGGGCCCCCCTGGTCCCTACCTTCTCTCGTTGTCGTCCAGGTGAGCAAACAGCACATTCTTGGAGATGGCTTTAGCCAGCGCCGTCATGGTCTTATAGTCCTTGGGGATGACCTGCAGCAGAAGCCAAGAGTTAGACTTCTGGGCGTCCCCAGGGGTCAGAGCCCGGGCCTGGAACAAGGGCTGGCCTTTCCAGGCACCCGCTGGACCAAGAGATGTTGTGATGTGGCTCGAAATCAACCTGTTCCACTTTCAACTTGTTATCAGGTGGTGCTAAAGATAGACAACTTGAAACATTATGTGTATGTACAACTTTTTTTTAATTTAAAAAATAAAATAAAGACAAGACAAGGAACCCAGAGTGACCTGAGAGGTGGCTTAAGTTCTGTCTAGAATTTGGGGTCTTGGTGGATTGGCTCTGGTGGGCTTCAGAGCCTCCTACAACATGCTAGATAGAAGACCTCCAGTCCCCTGGATTATTACGTCTTATGTCAATTTCTTTATTTCACTGGCTTTTTTTTTTTAGTAATAAAAAAACTTGTTTGACCAGGAGTGAGGAAAAGACTCACGGTCAGCACCTGCTGGGCAAGAGCGTTCAGCGGGTGTCTGAGGAGTTAATCACAGAATGAGGAAAACGCTCCCCTCTCACATGCCAGGTTTCTCCCTTAAAACAAGAGACACCGCAGGGAAGGCTATCTGGGCCGTCACACGACCCCCACTGCGTGCTCAGCTGCCCAGAAATCCCTGCCAGGCAGGGGAGGCGACGTCAGGCTCCCAGCATGCGTGTGCACCACGTCTAACACCATGGGACTTTTATCAAGAGATCTCTGAGGGACAGGCCCAAAGCCCCCTAAAAAGCCACTCCACTTCTAACAGACATTTTAAAAAACAATCTTTTCACTTTAGAACACTTTAGGTTTACAGAGAAGTTGGCAAGGCAGGCAAGATGGAACCTGCACTCTGACTCTGCAGCCAGTTTCCCACATGGTTAACATCCTAATTACCCCAGTCCAGGTGTCACAACTAGGGAGCCAGCCGTGGAACCCCACACCCCCTCACAAGTCCTCAGTTGCACCCCATCAGCCTGTTCTGCCCGGATCCCATCCAGGTCTCACACAGCCGTTCTGTCCCCTCAGTCCCTCTGGGCTGTGACATTGTCTTGGACTCCCCTTGCTTTGACGACCTGGACAGGTTTGAGGAGCGCTGGTCAGTTATTCTGCAGAATGTCCCTCCATTGGGGCTTGTCTGGGGATTTTCCTGTGGTTACAGTGGGGTTCTGGGTTTGGGGGAGGAAGACTATAGAAGTGAAGGGACCTAGTAGATTTTTAAACACTTTACTTGCTTTTTCTCTCTGATTATAAAAGTATTAAGTACTAAGGAGGGGGTGGGAGTTCGTGGTTTACAGGGACCGAGTCTCAGATTTGCAAAATGGAAAGAGTTCTGGGGATAGATGGTGGAGACAGCTGCACAACAATGCGAATGAGCTTAATGCCCCTGAACTGCACCCCGACTACGACCAAGGAGATGCTAAAGACTGAAGTGTCCCCTAAATGTAGGCGTTGAAGCCCTAACCTCCAGTGCGACAGTGTTCACAAGTGGGGCCCTCAGGAGGTGATTGGGGTTAGATGAGGCCACGAGGGTGCGGCCCCCGGGACGGGGTCAGTGCCCTGATAAGAAGAGACTCCAGAGAGCTCTGTCTCTCTCTCCTCGCCACGTGCAGACACAGCGAGGGGGCAGCCATCGGCCAGCAGGGAGGAGCGTCCTCACCAGGGACCAGTCCTGACGGCACGTGGATCTCGGATGTCCAGCCTCCAGACCGTGAGAGAATAAACTTCTGTTGCTTAAGCCGCCCGGGCTGTGGTGTTCTGTTACAGCAGCCCGAGCCCACTAACACAGAGGGTAAATTTTATGTTATGCTTATTTTGCCACAATTTTTAAAAAAAATTTTTTAAAGATAGGTCAAAAACTAAAAATGCAAAAGCAATAAAGCTGAGTGTGGAAACGCATAAGAAGGAAATGACAGGCCCTATGTCCAAGGGCGGGGTTCCGAGGTGGGTCCCACACACTGGCGGGGTGCACAGGCCCCCATAAGTGCTCACACTCGAGAAGGTGTCCTGAAGGAGGCGCACCACGCTCGGAGTGGCAGGGGGTAGGGTTGGAGGACAGAGTCATGATGTTGAGGGTCAGAGGAGGCTCTGAGGTCGGGGTCCAGCCTCAAGGGTCGAAGCCCAGGAGACGGGAGCCACGAGGCCTGGAACACCGGCTCCTATGTGACACCCCAGGCCTGGGCGTCCCATCCCTTCCCTGAGCCTGTGGGGATGACGACACGGCCTGGGGTGGGGGCCCCTCACAAGGGCCCTCAGGCAGACACATGCTGACCTTGCACCAGCACGACCACAATGTTAATCACCGCCCCTCTCTGACCAGAAGGGAGGCTGCGGTCTGGGGTGGGGGGGTCCAGGCTGAGGCCTGGGGCCGGGCCCACCTTCCTCACGTAGGACACAGCATCCTCCTCCGTGTACACCTCGGCGCTCACGCCCCCGCGGCGGCGGCGGGCCTTCACCACGGGGTTCGGGGGGGTCGGTGAGACCTCCTCATCGTGCGAGTCAGACTGGGAGGCCGCCTTCTGCTGAGCCAGGAGCTGTCTGTTCTCTTCCTGGGGGAGACACGGGAAAGGAGGTAAGAGGAGTGGCCATCTGACAAATCCCAGTCTGTCCTGTCACAGGCAAGGTCAGGGGACCCCGCGAGGGCAAGGGGACCTGGAGCTCCTCTGGGGCCAAGCCCCTCGCCTCGGGGCCCTGCCCGACCCCCCTCCCTCCAGCGTCCTCCAGGGCTCCCCTGGGAGGATCCCTCCAGGCAGGTGGGCAGCCTTGCCCCACGCCACCCCTCCAGCCCCCACCCTGGGCACTCGGTGGAGCAGGCAGGCCCCGGTGCCCTCTCCCCTGGACTTCACAGGCATCTCCATGTCCACCTCCCCTTGGGACAGCTCTGCCAGCCACAGGGCCCTGGCACCAGGGTCTCCTGCTCATTGATGCTCTAGGTGACCTTTCCAGCTTCCAGAGCCCAGAGGTCGACCCCACAGGGTCTGAGGCCAGCACCAGCCCGTTTGCCCACGAGGGCAGGAGGTGCCTTTGCTCTGCTCAGCCCTGTCCCGGGTGTCCAGCGCACAGTAGACGTGCAGGAAATCTCAGGTGGATGCATACGAAGGACACAAACCTCTTTTGTTTTCTTTCCTCTCTTTATTATTGAATTGCTTTTTTTAAATGGTGTATATGTGCAGAGCGCACAAAATTCAAAAACAGCGGAGGGGCATGCAGTGAAAATCAGGCCCCACACCCAACCCTCCGCCCCCAGGAGCAATCTCGTGACCTGCCGGGTCACCACAGGAAGAAATACAGGGCGCAGCGGGGGCACCTGGCAAACGGACCCTCCTTGTCTCCCCACACATGGAGGGCAAGGCCTCTGGCCCCTCATCTGCCAACGGCCACTTTCCCCAGGACACCACTCGGCAACCTCCTTGGTCAGCCCGGTGCAACAACCAGTCATACTTGATGTTACTCAGGAGTCACCCAGCAAAAACAGGAAGTCAGGAAACTGAGTCCTATCTGCCCCATCACTTCTCCCGGGCGTCCCACTGACCTCGCCTTGTGGGGTGCCCCCCACCTCCCAAAGCACCCCTTCCCACTCTCTTTTTTTTTTTTTTTTGTGGGGAAGATCAGCCCTGAGCTAACATCCATGCTAATCCTCCTCTTTTTGCTGAGGAAGACCGGCTCTGAGCTAACATCTATTGCCAATCCTCCTCCTTTTTTTTTCCCCAAAGCCCCAGTAGATAGTTGTATGTCACAGCTGCACATCCTTCTAGTTGCTGTCTGTGGGACACTGCCTCAGCATGGCCGGAGAAGAGGTGTGTCGGTGCGCACCCAAGATCCGAACCCAGGCCGCCAGTAGCGGAGCACGCGCACTTAACCGCTAAGCCATGGGGCCGGCCCTCCCGCTCTCCTCTTATTCCAAGCTTCCCGCATATCCTGTGAACCCTGGGGGAAGCAGGATGCTGTCCTAATTCATACTACAGTGTACATGACTTCTGGAGGCATCTCTCTCCCCAAGAGATTTTGTACTTTCTAAAGAAGACATTTTAGAAGGCCCCAGAGGGGACTTTGCAATTCAAATGGGGAGTGGGACGTTTTCCACAGAGAACTCACAGGAAAAAAGAAAATCAAGAAGCCATCGCCCCCCAAAACCAATGAATATAGTTCCACATATTCGTTCTACAAGTACTGGCTGCCTGTCACGTTCTGGGCACCGTTGTTGATGTTTTGCTTTTTCTTCATAAAAATATATTTCTTACCTTTAAAAAAAAATGATGACTATAAAGCTAATAAAAAGTTCAATGCTACGCATGTCGACTTTGTGACACACTACAAAGCTGTTGTGTCCTAGGTGGGGTGAGGTTGGTGGAGGCCACCCTGCCCAAAGCTGTGACCTGCAGAATGTACCCACCTGCTGCCACTGCCTTTGCCCTTCTAGTGAGCTGATGATCAATGTTTACAGTTCTTCACCTGCTCTAGTGTTTCTGTACATACACACACATACACACATATACACATACACACAAACACATACATAGACACAGACACACATAGATACAAAAAGACACACATATACATATACACACACATACACACACACACTCAGGTAGAAGCAAATCAGATATTACATAATTTCACGTTAAATACTTCAGTATTCATCTCTAAAACATGACTTTAAAAAAACGTTAACTACAATACCCGTTATCACCCTTAAAAAATAATATTTATTCCTTAATATCATCAAACATCCAGTCAGTGTTGATACCCCTGTCTCCATATTTTAGGGTTATTTTTTATTCTGATCAAGATCGAAACAAGACTACTGACCACTTCTTAAATGGAAACGGACAAAGACTACTGGACATTGAGGAAAGCACTCGGTGTGAAGTGGGCCAAGGTAAACACCAAGGAAAGATGACCCTGGAGGACACAAAACTAATTCAGCAAAGAGAAGACAACTTCAAAAACTGTGTGTACACTGTGCTTGGAGAGAGCTGAAAAGATGTTTCATCCACTAAACGTCAACATGATATTAAGAAAATGGGAGTTTCCTTTTAAAAGAAAACTGCTAAAGTTAAATACACAGTTTATATTTCATTAATATAAATATAATTTATACCACATATAAAGTATGAATTATATTTTATATGTAACAGTAGGAACACAAATCAGGGAACTATCCCAGAAAGGGGGAAAAAAAAAAATGTAAGAAAAAATAAAAGATAAACTAAAACAACCCAGAAGGTTCAAGACCTGATTAACAGGAGTTCCAGAAGATAAAACAAAAGAGAAAAAGTAAGAATAAAAAGAAATGTCCCCAAATTGAAGAACGTGAGTCCCTTGGTTGACAGGACTCACAAAACGTTGAGCCTAGTGAATGAGGAAGTTTCACCCTGAGAAATGTCCAGGGATGAGAACATCCCCAAAGCTTCTGCAGAGATGCATCGGGTCACCACCAGGACCAGGGATCAGATGGCTCCAACTTCTTGGTGGAAACCTGGCTCCCAGGACCTCAGAGCAGAGCCTCTAACATCCTGAAGGAACCCTCCCCCAGCCCCTCTGCCAACTGCCGTCCATGAGTGAGGGTGTAATAAGGGCGTGGTTCAGATACACCTGACCACTAGTTCTCAGTTTTTAGAATGAACCTATAGACAAAGCATTAAACACAAAATTGTGATTTTTTTAAAAAAATACATTATCGATACAGATGATGCAAGATGAAAAGTTCAGACAACAAAAGGGGAGTAGAATTTTGGAGAGGAGCTGACGGGCAGACGTGCTAAGATCTTTATCTTACAAGTGGGGATCAAAAAATACAGCTAATAGTTAACAAAACCATAAATTAAAGAGTTAGTACATTATTTAAAATCTAGACTTTCAGAAGGGAAACAATAAAGGCATTAAAAATAGTGGCGGCCATATGAATTATCAGACATGCTGGTCACTCCTCTGCTCAGAACCCTCTGATGGCGTCCAAACCCAGTAAAACAAACGCCCTTCCTTCATTGGCTGAGGCCACAGACCTCTGAGCTCACCCCCTCCCGACATACCAGCTCTTTGCTGTTTCATGAACACTCCATGTGCCTCCTTGTGCACTTGCTGTTCCCTCTGCCAGAATGCGCTTCCCAGTGTCCTGAGACTCGCTCCCTTGCTTCCTCTGGTCCCCGTCAAATATCACCTCTCAGTGCAGAAAGATTCCCCAAGATGCCCCCATGATGCCCCCACGACACTCCCACCCACCTCCTCCTCTGCGTCATTACTCCCATTAGCACTTCTGCTCTATAATCTACAAGTTCTGCTTATTTATCTTGATTATTGTCTGTTTCCCTCCCTAGAATAGAAGCCGCATTCACTGCAAAATCTCCAGTAATTAGCACAGCGCCTGCCTAGGGTAAATGCTCAATAGATATTTGTTAAATGAAGGAACACCTTTTTTCCAATTTTTTAAATAATAACTTTGAAAATCAGAGTAGCCCAGAACACAAAACTGTAAGCATCTTCCCTCTTCTACTGGCCACGACATCTAGACTGTGGTCACAATTATGAGTAGGAGGAGGCGGGAGGAGTTGTGCCCACACATAAGAAAGATCCTAAAAGTGGTGAGGAGTTAGGATGGGGGCAGAATTTCTTCAGTTTCCTTCTTGTGCTAGAATGTTAGTACAACACAAATAAACTGAAAGGAACAATCGTGTCATAATAAAAATAAAGCATTTGTTTGCCACTACGTAGACACAAATACCACCAAAACCATCTAAATAAATGACGAACCCCAGAAATGATGCCCTCTACTTACCACACATCTGTGAAGATACTGGCTCCGTAGGAAAGGGCTCTGTCTATCACGCACTCCAGAGTTACGACGCCCAAGAATGGAAAAATCACACAACATCCAGAAGACCTGTTTTCAAGCTACGATGCCCAGGAGCACTGCTCCCACGGTGACCCATCTCTGTCACCCTCACCAGGCACGTCGGCCACAATGAGCTTCCCTCAAGCTGGACGTGGGAGACACTCCTCCCCAGGATCCAATGGCTCCGTTGCAAACCCCACCCATGGGGTCCTTAGCCCCATCCGGAACTGGTACAACAATGGGTTTCAAGCAGTGGAATGAATGTGCAAATCAGGGCAAAACCATGCCAGGCAGCGACCAGGAGCTGTCTCGCAACAGATACTCTTCTCTAGAAAATGATCCAATTCCAAATCTCCTTCAGCACCAGTCGAGGTGACGTCGGTCACCCATTCCCGGGATGGAGACCGAAGGTCACGGCTCCCCAGGTCACCGCCAACCCTCCCAGGAAAATTACAGGAAGCTTAAAACTGAGCGTTAGCGGTTAGTTCCTTTCTACAACAAGCTCTCCCACCTACACGCAATCCTACTGAACAGCCACGAGCAGGACGGAAGGTCAGGTGCCGACACACACACGGTCTCCATCCGGGTCTGGGCGGAACCATCAAAAGCCCGACGTTTCCGTGGACCAGGCCTGAGGAGGGACCCCACAAGAGCCTCGCGAGCTGGCAGGAGGGGAGTCCCTCTGAAGATGAGCTCGGATCGCTCTGGAACTCCCTT